GTTAAATTTTTATAGAAAATTATGTTAAATTAATGTTGTTAGTTATAAAGATTATTTCGGTCTTTTGCCTGGAACCACCTACTAAAGCAAATAACACGACGCCTGCAGACAAGCGACATTAGAGAATTCGTGGTTAATTGCTTAATTACGGTGGGTAGGGGTTAAGTAAGTACGGTAATAAACAGACTTCGTAAAAGACTTTTTAGAACATAATGTGGTAGGTGTGGAATTTCTACATTTATGRTATTGGGTTTTAATACCAAAGAAAGAATAAGATATCCTCACTTTCAATTTGATTTCGAAAAATGTTAATTTGCTAAGTTTTATAGAAGGTCATTTTTATCCTATGAGTGGAAAAAAATGGATCCACGTTTTGTTTATCAATTTATCATGCTTTAGACATTTTTATGGATATTTTGTTTATAATTATATTCTTATTATACATATTTTTAACCTCAATAAACTTAATAAATAAATTTATTAAACTTGGAAAATGTTAACTACAGTACATAGATTTAAAAAAAGTTATGTTAAATGTTTGAAAATTATTAAATACTATAACAGCTTTGTTGTTGTTTTTTGCCAAAAAAAAGTAACAAAATAACTGATTACAGCTGTACAACCTATCTAAGCGAGTAGGTAAGTTTCATTATTAACCTTTAATTGTTAAAATGTTCAAAAATGTGTATACAAAATTTACAGAACTCGCGCTCCAGAGAAAAATGCCTTATAAGGTAAGATACCAGAAACATGGAAGAAATGTTTAAAAAGTTATATCTACAAAATTTCGAAGTTATGAGAGTTTAAATTTTGCAATTTGACTCTATTTTTTCTTGTTGGAAAGATAATTTTTCAAGTTTTTTTGCTACAGGCAAAAAAACAGAGGAAACAAGGTAGCTGTATCCTAAATTGTAACTCTATTTAATAATAAATTTTTGTATCTTTACTAAATAATTATGAAAAAACATATACAGTTGCGGAATTAAAATTTCGGGCAGTATTTTTCTGTCACTTTAAAAAGTTCACTGTAAACTACCTTTTATTATTTTTGAAAGTAAATAAGTCAAAATGACATAAACATGACAAGAGCAAAAAATGAGGTTATTAATGTAAAGGTTGTTTACATTATGAAAATGACAATACTGCCCGAAATTTTTATTCCGCAACTGTACAAGATCATCAGTATCATTAAATAGACATAAAAAATATCAAATTCAAAAAATAAATGCCAAAATTTTTTGACAGCTATAATTTTTTTTCCATATTCCTGGCATCTTATCATACTTGAAATTTTTCTCTGGGGCGCAAGTTCTGGCGCAGCCTGTAGATAGATATTAAAATATTCTGCACCACTTAAAATTAATTTTATGTTTACAAAATGTTGCAAAAACACGTTTTTTCTAAATGAAACATTTTATGTTTATTGAATTTTTGAATGTAGCTTTAATTTCTATGATTTCAAAGTAAATTTTATTTATTGATTTTGCTTAGTTTTTGAATTTTTTGATTGCAACTTTTTTGTCTATTTTGACTTAGCATCCAACCCACTGAAATCTTTACAGGTTTTCCCGTTCATCTTATATTTTTATTTCTATTTTATAAGGAAACCTTATTTTAGAGAATAAATTGGTATAAAAATTTCAATTATCCCATTGACATTAATTATGACTACATCACGTTTACTTTTAACTTTTATGTTTTATTTTAGCACTATTGCATATTAATGTAAAATATAGTTACCTGCTAATAGTATTTCGATGTTTTAATAAATGGATGTGCCTAATATCGATTAATGTTATATTTAAAATTATATAATTTTAAAATTAAAATTGCAGTTGTGTTTGTTTTTTCCACGTTATTCATAATCATTTTGTACAACAGTAGATGTTTCCTGTTGATTTCTCCATGAAGAATTTAAATTTGAAACCTGTTTGTTCCTATTTGTCTTATATTTTTGTACAATCTTTTTTTTTTAGTGTCATATTACGAAAAATTCAATAATCATTAATTTCAAGACTGTTTTGTTCTTTGTTTTATTAGCTATTTAATTAACTTTTTTGTAATTTGCCGCCATTTTGATTTTTTAATAGACATATTAATACTCAAAAGGCGACTAAATCATTTAAAATTAGAGGGCAAATTATAAAAAATAGTGCAAAAAACCCGTTTTATCAGACCTTGAATCACTCATTCTTGACAATAACTCGTGGTTGCGCCACTCGTTTTTTAAACTTGAATTCGTGCCTTAATTAAGTCTTATGATTGTTTTTTCAATATAGGTACTATTTTATAAAATATAATAGCAATTCAATAAATTTCGGTTTTTATTAGCCTAGCAGCGTTAGTTTGTACAACGAGAAAATGCTTTAAAAGTTTTGTTTCAAAGTATTAATATTTGCACGAAATATTCAAATTGCTATGACTTGTGTTCATTTAAAGAATTTTTGGAGAACGTTTTTGACGTTATTTTTTTACATTTTTGTATAAAAACATGTGTCAAAATACTTTTGCTAACGTTTCTTGAATCATCGCTTTGATCTAATTTCCATCAATTTCCGAATTGATATCCAGTTATTTGAATTTGTCAAAAGTAATATAAATTTGTAGTGTTTACATCCCGTTTGCATTTTATGCGGGATCAACTCTGAAAGCGAGAGAAACTTTGTTACTTTAATTATATTTGGAACTCGGTTCTTTCTTCATCGATCAAATAAAAGAGATTTCTCTTAAACGAAAACGACTTTTTCCTCTCAAAGCTCCAACCAAACATGTTTAATAATCACAGTCGGTCTGTTAACAGGCAAAAATGCTTAATTAAACTCAAATTAGGCACCATTACCAAATGTTGCAGAAATAACGGCGTAAAATAGCCTTTTAATTACGGCCGCCGAGCGTTCAAAACAACAATTATTTATAGCGAAGTGGTGCCCATGGAAAAAAGACAACTAGAAGCAGATTGAGAAATCAATAGCCCGATGAAAACTGTGAAACAGGGTTACTGAGCCTGCTGGCTATTGATCACGCAATATGAAGCTTACCTGAGGCCGTGTTTTGACAGCGCCGTCCTACTMACTCTTATCATTTAACGCACTTGACTGATTGCGAAAACAATGTAGAAAGAAATACAGAATGTAAAGCGAAGCTCGTTTTTGCGTTAAGAGGGAAATGTCGTGTTCTTATCTGGCGGGCAACTTCATCAAAGACCGCCGTTTTAAAAAATACGCGGCTTTAGGACGGCGGAAATTACATCACGTTGTACTACGTYTTTTTTAATACCTGAACACACCGCCTAAACGTTTTCGTAAACAGAAATTCTAAAAATTGGAAAATGTGATGGTTTACTTACTTTTTTCATAAAGGACATAACATTTGTAGGCAACATGGCGGCGTATTGTCCAAAGCTTTCTTACGGTGAACTAAACGGAGATTTTTAGCGAAGTATGAACTTCTTTACACATTTTAGGGTTTTTTTCTTTGTCCGCTGCATTTTCATATTTCATCTGAAACAAATTGGAACATTACTTTTACTAAGTCAGGACACATAGAAATCAAAGAATTACGAGTAATTTGTTGAGTACAAACTAATGTAAAAAAAATACATTTTGATTCTATTCGTTTTTAATTTTGTGAGGTGGAGTGAGAAAATGTCTTTCAAAAGAATTTCTTTCAATTTTATCGCATTGTTTTAAACGTTTGAATTCAAATTGCAAAATCGACTACGCAAAAAAATGTAGCTACGTAATTTTTATTTTAAATAGACGGTGATTCAAAAAGATCTAACAATCAATTTTGAGAGTATAATTTGTTAGTTTCAAATACCACCATTTTTTTGAATTATGCAATGAAATTTAAAAAAAGAACGACAAAACATGGTCACATGTTGTGTCTTAAAGGTTCGAAATTTAACTAGAATGTCTTTTTTACAATTTAGTATTAAGATTAAGTTTTACATGTTATAGTATTTTGGAAAGTATAACATTTGGATAGAGTTATATTTTGATAACTTTCTCTATTTTAATTACTTATTTTTCTGAATACAACGAAACAATGTATACCTATGTATACAACATAATTATATTTGACCATGAACCTTTGTAATAATGTTATAGATATATTTTTGCACCTGTTGCATTATTGCTTCATTTCATTTTAGTTAAGCTCTTGATTCCGTTATGCATGATGTATAGGTACATAAATTATCATCATTTGAATATGCCAAATTTCTATTAGAAATTTTAAAAAACCTTTTAGTCGTAATCGATATGCAATTTACTCATACGTGCTAAATAAGCAAGAATTCCGTCATGAAAAACAAACAACTTTTTTCTGTATTTGTCAAAAATAAGATTAAACAAAAGTAATTATTTCTATGTACAAACGAAATGAAATATTACTTTTTCCGAAATCGTTTGCAAAATTTTAGAAAATAGTTTTAAAGTTAACCCAAAATACATAGTCCGTAAAAAAGTATTTTTCTGAACTCATATCATATCTCATTATTCAAATTAAGCTTAAAGTGAACGAAATAGGTATAAGCTAAATAGTTTTTTCTAACACTAATATCTTATACTGTTTCTATGGTGCATTTAAGCTTGCCTTTTCTGTTGCCGTTAATATACACTTTTTTATAAAATACGTCGTCAATGACAACGTATTTTATAAGTAAATAAAACACACTTATCTTAAAATTTTGTCAATTTTGACATTATTTTGCCAAACTTCTTTATAACAATTTCTGAATTTAATAAACTTTTTGATCCAATATTAGAGTTAGAAAAATTTTTGAAGACAACACAGTTGGGTCGCTCAAATTTAAATAAAATACGATTTCAATTTTAAACTATCTATTAAACTCTTGTTGTTTTAATAGCTTTAAATTGATGTAGAGATATGTTGATTTATTTTTGTTTGTGTTTCAAAAGTATTGTTCTTCTCAACGTGCACAAAATTNTTTCGTAAACAGAAATTCTAAAAATTGGAAAATGTGATGGTTTACTTACTTTTTTCATAAAGGACATAACATTTGTAGGCAACATGGCGGCGTATTGTCCAAAGCTTTCTTACGGTGAACTAAACGGAGATTTTTAGCGAAGTATGAACTTCTTTACACATTTTAGGGTTTTTTTCTTTGTCCGCTGCATTTTCATATTTCATCTGAAACAAATTGGAACATTACTTTTACTAAGTCAGGACACATAGAAATCAAAGAATTACGAGTAATTTGTTGAGTACAAACTAATGTAAAAAAAATACATTTTGATTCTATTCGTTTTTAATTTTGTGAGGTGGAGTGAGAAAATGTCTTTCAAAAGAATTTCTTTCAATTTTATCGCATTGTTTTAAACGTTTGAATTCAAATTGCAAAATCGACTACGCAAAAAAATGTAGCTACGTAATTTTTATTTTAAATAGACGGTGATTCAAAAAGATCTAACAATCAATTTTGAGAGTATAATTTGTTAGTTTCAAATACCACCATTTTTTTGAATTATGCAATGAAATTTAAAAAAAGAACGACAAAACATGGTCACATGTTGTGTCTTAAAGGTTCCAAATTCAACCTAGAATGTCTTTTTTACAATTTAGTATTAAGATCCAACATTTAGATTGAGCAAGTGGACATTTTGATCATAACTTTCTCTATTTTAATTACTTATTAAATTTTTCTGAATATAATGCAACAGTGCCAAAAATGTATACCTATGTCAAAAACATAATTATGTACTTGACCATGAACCTTTGTAATAATGTTATAGATATATTTTTGCACCTGTTGCGTTATTGTTTCATTTCATTTTAGTTAAGCTCTTGATTCCGTGATGCATGATGTATAGGTACATAAATTATCATCATTTGAATATGCCAAATTTCCATTAGAAATTTTAAAAAACCTTTTAGTCGTAATCGATATGTAATTTACTCATACGTGCTAAATAAGCAAGAATTCCGTCATGAATGAATAAAATAATTTGACATTATTTTGTCTTTATAACAATTTCTGAATTTAGCAAAATTTTTGATCCAATATTGTGAAAATAGTATGAAAAATTTTTGAAGACAACACAGTTTTATATTTTAAAAATCTCGCTCCCATGGGTCGCTTAAATTTAAAATACGATTTCAATTTTAAACTATCTATTAAACTTTTATTGTTTTAATAGCTTTAAACTGATGTAGAGATATGCTGATTTATTTTTGTTTTTGTTTTAAAATCATTGTTCTTCTCAACGTGCACAAAATTCTTTTTTTATTTTTTTTTAAGAGATAAATGATTAAAGTCTTATAAGAGTTAGAAAAGGATATGTTTATTATTAAAAGATATTTTCTTGTTTCACTAAATTTCTAAATTATAAAAAACACTTAAAAAGCAGTATTTGTTGAATAAAATGTTAATTTTGGTATAGCTTTTTTAACAATTTTCAAATCAACCAAACAAAAACACTAAATGAGTAAAAATTGAAAAAATCATTATTTGTGTAACAAGCGAAAAAAGTAATTTTTTCTTCTCAAGAAAATAAAAAACTTTCTTCTTGTATTCCACATTTATTTTTTTCTAACACTAAAGATAACTTCCGACAAAAGAGTTTTTGAAGCAAAAAAATTTTTTTTGTGATACATACCTACTTGTATCTTATAGAAAACTAATCGTAACTTTCTGAGTTGGTGTTGTAAAAAATGTTCCACACTACACTTAACATAAGAACAAAATACGAGTAGTCATAATTTCGTAATAGTCTTTCTAATGATTTAAAATAACACGTATGTGAGAAATAGTTCTAGTTTGTCGTTTATGTGAGCTTAAAAAAATTCATTTTAAAGTGACAACTAGAAACTTTTATTTCAATAAAGTTTTCTCAATAATTTTTTTTATATTTTTAAGTTTAGTTTTCTACTTAAACCCTATTGATAAAAAGACAAGACGAGTTTAAATTACGAGTATTACCACATCAATATCAATAAACATCTGCCATTCAACGTTAATAATCCATTAAAAGAGTAATATTTCTCAAAACAAGTAAGCCACAAATGACGCTATTAACTAGCTCATATCTACGTAAATAGTGTTATTTGTAATACTTAAAAATTTAACGAAATTATGAGAGGATTTCCTGTCCATTAACTTAAAAAAAATGACTGTATACCTGACGCGATTGGTAAAATTTTCGATTTCCTAATTTATTCATTCAATACAAATTAATAAAATTTGCATTCCTAACAAACTTTCTATCAGAAGGACTATCTCAACCATTAGTGTTTTATTCATACGTTTAGAAAAGTAATAAAATTTGTATCAGTAAGCATGCGGTGGAGTTTCCGGAAAGTTTCAAAAGCATAATTTTATAATTTTGCCCTAATAATAATAACAAATTTACGGGGCTGACTAAGCGTAATATAAGCGTTTATTTATGCTGGAAGAAATTAAATTTCCAACGATGTTATGTGTGGTCAGGTTTGCGCAGACTATTCGTGTTTTTTTTTTCATGCAAAAAGGCAGTTTTGAGTTTGACTCACTAGACTGTTAAAATATCACAAAATGGCTACCAATTATTAAATAAATTTGAAGTAAATAGAGTGCAATAAAGTTAGAGGTAATTTAATGGAAAATGGGTGTAGTATTATGCATGAATTATTTAATTCGTCGAAATTACAACGCCAACGTTTAGAAAATTCATCTTCCGACCAAACAATTAGCCAATGAGTCGGATGTCCTCCCGGCTTTCCAGCAAAAAATGTCATTAAGGGCAAGTTTACTTTGAAACTGCGACCTGCTAAGATAAAATTAAGGAGTTTCTTGCCTAGGCTTCACCAGTCTTCTAGATTAAAAGAGACAAAGTCTTTTATAATTGKCTCGTCGCATCAGATAATTTTTATGTTTTATGTCTTTTTAAACCAATGGAATCCAGTAACAAGATAACTGTAAAGCTTTAGTAACTGGCAATATTTTAGATTCTAACATTTTGCAATATAAAGCAAGATCTACAGCGATTGCGGTATAAATAACATCCACAACCGACACACAAAGAATTTTATTTTGTGTTTTGTATTTTGATTATGTATTTCAAGTTTAATATAAACTTTAAAACTGTTATTAATTTAACAAGTTATTGCATAATTTATAAAAATAAAGCTAGGTAATACCCAGAATACTGTTTAAATGACTATTTMAGAACGTATTTATCTGCTTATCTAAATTACCAATAAAATATAAATCTGCAAACATGAGAATTATGTCTTCCAATTGGTATAAATTACACAAAACTTTAGTTGAATSGAGTCACTCTAATGATAAAAAGTTTTGGATTTATGGAACTAGTTACGTAATGTCACATAACACCTATTATATCAAATTTCCTGCATTATCTGGCATTAAATATGAGTAAATTTAGTTGGTCGTTAGTGGTTTGTAAAGTATATTTCATTGTTTGAACTATATTGGTTAAGTTCAAGTTAATACTTGTTTTGATTGAAATTACAGTTAACAAAGTTATTTGCTCAYAAAATTAAGTAGACCTAAATTTCTATTTAAACTAAACAAAGGTCGAAAAGTGATTAACTGCAAGAAACTTAAACAAAAAGGTGCAATTTCAATCARCATTTCGGCTTATAACGYTGTTTTAATCATAACATAAGTGTGATTTTTGTGATTAGAGATAGTGCAGGTGCTAGAAATCGATTTCGTATTTATTCATATTTATTTTCATGACATGTGAGCTCACATTAAAGTAGAACAAGCATAGAAAGTTTCTAATGTTTTAGATTAGTTTGTCAATAGCAAATACTCTATTGATCAACTAGCAATGATTGACCTTTTATCTCTAATACGTTGAAGCTTGAGTGTAATTAGAGTGAATGCTACTGGCCAACTCTCTTTAGTGAATAATACAAAAACTTTTCTTTTGATCATTTGTGGCGATTTGGTCTAAAAATGCCTTTAATCTTTGTTGAAAACAACGTTATTTGTTTCAGTTGCTTTAGAATATATTATATTTAGTGTTTTTTACCCTTTAGTGRATATAGTATGTGCTAATAAACACTCTTATTGGAAATTTAATCCGATTATGATTCGTATGGAAAATAAGACCGTCGAGCACATATTGTGTAGCAATACTGTAACTATAGTAATTAAGTAACACAACTGCATTTGACAACAGGGGTCATAATAGTGTCATACGGGTCGGTTGTTCAAACAATTATTAATTCCATCATTTCGGGTCCTACTCGAATGTGCTCCAATATGTAGATAATTAAGATTTATATTGAATGGATTACAAACTCTTGAGTGCATATTGAAGTTCTAAGATTAGCTCCTCTGTCAAACCTAAATTTAATTAAAACTAGATATGAAAGAATAATGCGGATGGTAATAAATTTTACATTGAAGTAATACGATTTAAATTACTTTCAAAGCTAATTAGTAAGAACTGAGAGTATAAATATCTAGCGTTAGCGAATTGTTTACGGATATTATTTAATCAGAATAACGTCTTATAATGATCTTAGGCTCTGTATTTTGTCACGCAACAAACGCATTATTATGTAATTGTTTTGATTTCGCAGTTTTTGAATGGCATTCTTTAGTATTTTAAAATTTTGAACATTATTTCAAATTTTACAAATTGAATCGGAAAATTGTTTAGCACTAAGTATAGATATAATTTTAAAAATTATACGCATGTACAGGATGCGCCAGAACTCGCGCCTCAGAGAAAAATTTCAAATAGATACCAGGAACATAAAAAAATGTTAAAAAAATTCTGTCAAAAAATTTTGACATTTATTTTTTAACATTTGACATTTTTTATGTCTATTTAGTGATACTGATGATCTTGTATATGTTTTTTTATATAATTATATAGTAAAAGTACAAAAATTTTGCCAACAAAAGCAAATAACATTAAACAGAGTTACAATTTACGATACAGTTTATTGGTTTTTTCTTCTAATAGCCTGTAGCAAAAAAACTAGGAAAATTATTTTGCAACAGAAATAAATAGTCAAAGTGCAAAGTTTAAACTTTCATAACTTCGAAATTTGGGAAGATTGACTTATATTTTAATAAACCAATTGCGTAAAAACACTGATTTACTTAATACTTTTTTTGTAATAAAATAATTTCTTATTAGTAAAAACTTGAACATGTTTTTAAAAAATTC